AGCGACATAAATAAGACAGAAGGATTACCTAAATAATTGGAAATATTTGAAGGAGCTTAAATAATGCTACGATCCAATATTGATGTATCCAAAGAACTTATAAATGGCGCAATAGGATTCATCGCTGAAATTATCTGGCCATATTTTAGACGAGATCAAATGTATGCAGAAGATATACTATCATTACGTGTAAAATTTGGAAATGAAGGCATACATGTAATACAGCCAAAGTCAATACAGTTTCCGGCAAAGTTAAGTTACGGAACCGCTGAAAAGAGAATGTGCCAGTCATACTATCACGGGTAGTGATAGAACGATACGAGTACCGAGTACAGAATATCGATACTTTTCATGAGTACTGAGTAGTATCGGGAACTCGATACTTTTTCACAAGTACTGAGTAAATATCGCGAATGCCGAAAAGTATCGACGAGTTAAAAACTTTTTTTTAATAATTTTTTTTTTCTAATTACGTAATAAATATTGTGGCGAACGTTCGAATATTAACTTCAATATCCAATATGAATGGTATGAAAATGAACATAAAGCTCATTTACTTCAATACTGTCATAACTCAAAAAACAGAAAACCCGAGAAACACGCATTTAAAGTTTTTAATTCACATATCGGTACCCTCATGCCACATGCATGAACGTGCAAATTTATCTGTTTGGAGTTATTGGTTGACACGGAAAGTAAATATATTACAATTTTAATTGCATAAATGTAGAGCTAAGTCTCGCAAAAGAACTTTCAAACTTGATTTCCCAAAAGTTTTATTTTTACACATTCATGTTTATGGCATACGGGCGACGATATGTATACACTAGGGATGTTAATTTTTTAGATTTTTACGATCCCGGGATTTTCGGAATGTCGTTGGTTCAACCCGGGATCAGTCCCGGGATTTAGATATTTATTATTTTTCAACGACTTAACATGAAAAAATTGCATCAATATGTTTTGAGTAGCTCTCCTACCATATAATAAATAATAGTAAATATAAGTAAATGGGTTTGGAACGTACTTTTTTATTTAAAGTGAAAATTATTTCATAAGTAACAAAACGAAAGACTGTAATTAAATATATATACATTTAATAATACTTTAGTGTGTACATATCTGATAAAGTAATTTAAGGTATGTCGAAAATGCTCGATGCAAAAAAAAAAAATTAAGTAAAATTTTTTTTTTCTGGTTAAAAGAACTTTATAACACTAGTAGCGCCTTAATTAGAACAGTTTTGTCTATATTCCTTTTGCTTATCCAAAATTCCAATTTCTACATAAAAACGAATATTTAAAAAAAAATGTTGGTTACGTTATTTTGGCAGTTAGGGCTCGCTATAATTTCAAAGAATGGTTAATTTCAAAATTTATTTAAAAAAATTCAGTGCAGTGTAAAAAAAAATATGGGTACCAAATGAAATAATTTCTTTGCGTTCACAAGGACGAATAGGAATTGAAAATGCCCCTTTAATCTATTTTATATTTTTAAGCTAATAAAGTTAGTCCTTAACATAACATTTTTTCAAAAATAAGAATTGAAAAATTTCAACAATATTCAAGGTCAAAGTTATAAAATCAATACCCACCCGTGCCTTACGGACCAAAAAATATAATGTGTTCTAACTTTACATAATCTTCTCTTTCAATTTTACTATATTTGGCCCTTGGTTTGGCGAATATAATGATTTTTTTTTTTGTGTGCAAAATTGCCTG